CAAACCCTAATTTAAAGATAATCCATGCTTATATATACCTTTCTTACTTTTGTCAACTCAAACCATCGATTCTTCTTTTTTTCTTTTTTATGTTTTTCCTCTTTAATTAAATTTTCGATGTCGTATGTATCTCCTCATTTATATTTATTTTTTTATAGCGTATTCACATAAATTAATGTTTTCCGATTATCTGACTTTTGATTATGAGCATGGATATTTCTAAATCACTTTGGTCGTCTTTTTTATGACCAATGATTAGTTTGATTTTGTGTTTTTAATGTTTTCTAGATTTTGTAGTTTAAATCTGCCCCAACAAGGTATGATTATATCGATGTGTTTCTATATTTTTTATGTTCTAGTTTTGTTTACTTATTTTTATCCAAGTCTTTGATATTGATACCCACCGGCACAATATCCAAAAACCATAATACGTCTTTGTGTATTTAGTTTATTATATATAGCAAAACCTTTCTCCACGTCTACAAACCTAAAATTCCAATTATTAATTTGCTTATTCTTTGTTACTTTATGTAGAACGTGAATTCGTCTAAATATGATTCTCTTCCCCATGAAGGTTGTACAAACGTGGAAGCAAACCTCCATCTTGATTGGTAAGTTTTTGATAGTAATATTATACACTGAGTTGCTCTCTTTCTTCGATTTATGTTTTTTGTTGTATGTTCTGTTTGATAGATCTATCACAACACTTTAACAAAAAAAAAAATAGATCTATCGAGGCTCATGTGCACTGGTTATTCTGTTATACATTTTCATATTGCGGTCATGCGGTCATCACTGGTTAGTAATTTGAACTTTATTTCTTTCAATTTTGAATCACTGAGTCGCAATGTTTCTAATTATTGCTTTGTTTTCCACCAAAAAGGCACAACAACGAGGATCATTTTAGGGTTTGGTCACAATATGTTCTTGTTTTTTTGTTATTATTTTTTCATCAATCATAATATATTTTTGGCATCATCTTCTTCCAAAAAGTTCATCGTGTCACAATATAGGTATATGTTCTTCCATATGTTTTCTTTCGAGTAAGCTATAAATTGTTTCTTTGAAAAAATTATCTCCTTTAAAGTTCTTTGCTTTGTTTTGTTTTCTTTTTGTTTTTGTGGGAGAGTCTTCACTAATTCATCAATTAGGTTTCATGTTTTAGTTTTGAAACCAAGGAGTATAGTTAATTTTTCTTTTACATGTTGACATACATTGAAAAATTTTACATGTTTCGTTCTTAAACAAAAACGAAGTTAGGTCTACAGTGTATTTACAAACCCATAAACATTTTGTTTTATTTAATAAATTATTCACGATGTTATTTATAGAGCAATTTCAAAAAATGCCATTTTTCAAGTGCCACTTTACAAAAATNCCACACTTTTGAAATCTTTACAAAAATACAACTTTTTCAAAATTATTTTTTCTTTATAATATTTATGTTTGGGTTAATTATGTTCTATTAGGGTTTAGTTTTGAGTGTTTAGTGGATTTTAGGTGTTAAAACATTTTTTAGGG